GGAGTACAAGAAGGAGCTCTGCTGCGTCGTGCCTTTGGAGACCAACGTGGGGCCCTCGGAGGTGGGATGCTTCAGCGAGCTGGAGCTTGAGGGGAAAATGGCGCCGTCGGTGCCCACGCCGTTGACCCCGCTCCGCCGTCCTAGCGGGATGGATAAGCTTCGGGTGGAGGTGTTCATATTTAGGGAGGTGCCCATCATCGTCGGCTCCGTGGCTGGTATCGTGGTCTCCACCGAGGCGTAAGGTGACGGCAGGAACAGAAACACGTACTTTCCCTTGAGCTCGCATATCGGAACGACGTCCTCCGGACGACTCTTACCAGCGGCAGCATCCTGAGTGAAGGGGAGCAAAAACGGGCTCGAGTTGTGTGAAAGAGATAAGGATAGCGACAACGAGAGGTACCTCTGCCGCGCTCCCGCGGGGGGCTGTGGGGGGTGGGTGCTATGAGCCGGCGGGCGCATCTGCTGCCCTCGAGGTGGCGTCAAGGCGGTGCTCGCCAAGGCAGTCGGGGGGCTGCCCTGCGCGGTCTGCATGAAGCTTGGGGATAGCTTCGAGATGGCGGGGTTGGGGGCTGCACGAGAAAACCCTAGGGTGGGCGCCGGTGGACCGCCACCGCTACTGGGAGGGTTGTTATCAACGGCGATGGGCGGCTCAGGGAGTGAGGCGTCATTCGGGGAAAATGAAAGGGTTTCGTTTGACACCTTTGGTATTTGTTGGGATCCAGAATCGATTTTGATTATACTAGGCTGATCCGACTCCGTAGTGGCCGCTACAAGCTGAGGAGGCAGCAGAACCGAAGTCGGCACATATGATCTGTCCTGACTCTCAAAACATTTTATTGCAAAAAGGCTACCAAGAAGGTATTCCATGAACTTCAAGGTGCGTATATATGTAAGGCTGTTGTTTTTCTCAATTAAAAAAAATGAAGATAATAAACGGAAATATAATTTCACTATTATTTTACCGCGATTCAATGGATCAGCAAGTGTTTAATCGTGATGTTTCCCTTTGATGTTTTTATGAGCGAAAAAAAAGGTGCGATACAATGAAATCACGGGGTTCACTACGCGACCGAATATCGGTTGCCTCTGCCCGCTAATATATCAATATTTGTAGATAAAAATATCGATAGATATTGATATGGGTAGATAGGTGAGCAAATCCAACGGTTTACCTGTATATAGAAAGTGTATCTAACTCCTTGAAGAAGAAGCTAAATCACCTCGGGAGATAAAAAAATGAGAAAATCGCCTTCTAACTTTCCTACTACTTTATCTGTTGATTCTTCGCTTCCTCTAATGCTGAAGTTCACTAGATGACGCTGTAGTGGGAAAAAATAAGAACAGAAGCAATAACGCAAATTTGTGTACGAAGCATTCAAAAAGCTCTCATAGAATAATAAAAGGAATATCTCGCCATTTCATATGGTGAGATATTTGAATAGGAATAAAAAGACACCAGAACGCTGGAGTCTTCGGGTTCGTAAACCTGAAGTTTGTACTTACATAAAATTGACTTCTCATTTATTTACACATCTTTACAGTCTTCTTTTTCTCTTCAAAAATGAAGTGAGAAGGGCAGTAATAAACATCCCAAAACGCATGTAATGAAGACGGGTTATTATGTATGGCATCTTCCGGAAGGTGTATGCTGCTCGTTCCCCAGGCACAGTGAATTTAAGTCGTATGCAAGAATGAACACCTTTTCATATTTCACCGGAAAACGTATGAAATACCTGATTAGGAAGAATGAACAACACGCATTCCGTTTTTATTCATCTAACAAAAACTAATATTTAAAAGATGAAAGTAAAAATGGGTTGTGAAATCTTCGCCTTCCCCTTCATTATTTGCAAAAATAAAAAATGAAATTTCGTTATTTACATACACTCATTACAAGAACTGTTCAAGATACTGCATAATACTACTAATAATAATGAAGCAGAGATCGAAGCTTGGTTGGGATGGGTTCTCGCTCCCTATCGCATGTGCGCATGAGTGTATCCCCTCCCCCCTCCCTTCGATCTAGGTCTTGTGGAGTTTCTTATCTTAGGCTCGCACAAAGCGCATCATCAGGTATGCGAAGGCATCGAACCCTAGCTTATCACCATCCTTTGCCAACGCCACGCAATCCTTCTCGAGCTGCGTGTAGGTGGCCGTCGCGCCGAAATCGCGATCCAGCGAGCGCATGTATTCAAGAAAGGTCTTTACATCCAGATAATAGGCGTCTTTGTTGGTTTCCTGTGAGGCGCTGTGCTCGGTGGCGTCGAGATTCCCCGTCTCCTCTTCCTCTTCCTCGCCGTTCTCCTTGGGAAGGGGGCGCGGCCCCAGAGAATCGAACCATTCCCGAAGCTGGTTTCGATAAATCGGAATCCCCGAGAGGTTGATTACCTCGACACACGCATCGTCGTCCTTCCCCTTTTCCTCCCCGGTGCCATCCGCGCGACGGTTGAAGTTGAGCTGCACAGGAAAACTGTAGCCAAGGCGGATCGTTTGATACCCGTTGCTTCGATAAATCGCGTGAGGAGGAAGAGCAGCGTTGGAGGTGGCGGTGGAGCGCCGCTGTGAGTATGGGTTCGAGCTCAGCTGTGAGGGAGGGTGTGAACTCCGCTTTTCTTCCTCTTTCGCGCTCTCGGTGGGGACCTCTTCGGCCTCCTCCTGCTCGCCTGGCGGGGGGAGATCCTCCTCGTCCCCTCTGAGCATGCCGAGGCGGTCGTAAAGCGCCTCCTTCTTCACCTGCAAAGGCACCTCCCCCTCGCCGAAGAGGGCGGGGGTGAGAAGTCCACGAAATTCAGAGTCCGAGACGGCAAAGACGTCGGCGGCGATCGCCTCGCGCGCTGCCAGGGTGGGTTTCGTATTATCTGGCGGGTACTCAAGCAGCGGCTTCTGCCCTTGCCGGAGGGTGACGTAGCTGACATCGCGAAGGCGGACGTCGTCGTAGCGGTTGCTATGATACAACTTGTGGAGGTACGTCTTATCACGGGGCTCGAAAAGAGCCGCGATGACCCGCTCATCGATGGGCAGACCGAGCATCTCCACAAAGGCACGCTTTTCCATTGGGAGTAGGTTGTCGTAAGTGCTCTTGATACGTATCAAACGCTCTTGGCTTTCACCGTCCAGTAAATGGAAAGCACGTAGCGATTCATCATTGGGGGCTGCGGTCTTCGCATTATCCCCCGCAGCCAAAGCAGTGGCGGCCATACCCTTTCGTTCACTCGTTTCGGTAAATATGTATAAATGTTTTTAGTGTGTTTGCGCGCAGAAGGTTTTTATTCTTTAGACGCTAGACCCAACTTCTTTCATTTTGAAAAGCATTAGAACCAGGAGAAAATATAGGTGTAAGTGTGGTATTCCATCGTGTTCCGATTAGGGAAGACATTCTTGGCAATGCCACGGTGATGCAGCATATTAGATATGTAGAAAAGAATTCTTTTTTAAAAATCAACTAAAATGATAATACTAGAAGTATTTAATAATTGTAGCACGATCTGGAAAATACATGCGTCTATAATATATTTGCAATATATAATCAATTTTCAAAATTCCTATCGTAGCTTGTACCCTTTATAGAAATAATGACATTTATTTGTCAGCTTGGACATATTAGTAATAATAAATATAATATAAGAAAGAGAAAATAGGCGAGAGAAATAAGATTTCCCATTCCTATTTCTTATCTGGCCATGGAAAGTCCTTTCCTTCAGAGTCCTCCATCACCTTAGACCGCGCAGAGGTGGTTATAACGTTACCTGTGGCAGCTTCAATGGCAATCAATGTTGGTATCGACTCGACAGAATGGCGGTTAATCAGAGTTTTAACAACATCATTCTGCTCAAATGGAATGGCGAGCCATGGCATTTTCGCATAGTACTGGGTGTAGTCCTCCTTCTCCTCATCCCAGGACACGAAAACGACCTCAAAATCCTTCTCCTTATGGTACTTGTTATAAAAATCGATCAGGTGGGGAGTGAAGCCGCGGCATGGAGGGCACCAGCTCGCAGAAAAGTACAGTAGCACATACTTAGATGTGATGGAAGAAAGCGGTACAGTTGCAGCCTGTTTCAAAAGGCTCTCTGTGTTTGGAATGAGTTTTGCGAGCGGTGTCATTTTTAAATTTTGATGTTAATAGCGTCGAAGTAAGTGGAAGAAGATTGCAAAAGGAAATAAAAATCTTTTGGAAACGTAAGTTTAATACGCAAAGGAAAAAAGTGAAGGAGTAATACCAGAGGTCGATGAAATAGTCAACAGCAACATAAATAAAATTTGTGATTGCAGCAACATTATCAAATTTCAAGGAAGTAGGAAGGGAAAAAATCCAAACCGAATAATGGCACCAAGAAAACTTGATTCGAATTAATGAGAAAATTCCATTCAAATGAGCCTTAATGACTATTGTGAGAGAAAGACACGAAGAGAATAGGACGTTTGTTAACGCACTATTGATATTTATATTCTCGTTAACACACATACATCGGGAAGATATTGTTGATGAGCTCGTAAACAGTAAAAAAAATGCTTAGTAGAAATAGAGGCTAGAAAAGAGGTAGTCTCTCTCACCCTCTCCGCTACAATCTTTGCGCAACTAAAGTTTGCAAATACTGTGCATTGAAGATATAGCAAACTCCAGTGCCCGCCGTATCGAGCTTTACACTAAATGTACAAACCCTTTAAAAGGTTAAGAAAAGGAGAGAGATGTAATGTAACCTGTATAACGGTTCTGTAGGCAAAAAAAAAGGAAAAAAGCTTGTCATACAGTTTTCCTTGCGATTTAGAGAACCCCCGCCCGCCCCCCGCAAAAAAGGCTCCTCGGGGTTCAGTTGCCCTGAATGCAAATTGTGAAATGTATGGAAATCGAAGTGAGGTGCCTTGCATAAAGGTTGCCGGTTAGGTAGTAGATATCTTCAAATGCGCTGAACCGAAGGTCTTAGGAGGGACGCGTAACGCTCGCATTACGCGTTGTAAAGACGCAAACTCAAATACACTGAAGGAAGAGGGGGCTTTTTGCAGTATCGGAAATAAGGAAGTCACTCATACGCTATGAGACTGTTTGAACTCTCACTTAGAGAGGATGCAAATTTACATCATGGTGATCGAAAGAATGAAGGACTATATTTAGAAGAAAATAATAATAATAATGACCAAAACTGATCCTCCGTATGCAATGTTTAGAAATACGAAAAATCAAAGTCACTGCGAGTGGCGTAAATCATAAGTGGGAATATCCTTTTTCTTCTTTATACGTTTTGTACACTTTGGTAGTGACAAGATACCTGGACGAAATGTAAAAAGAGAAAGAATAGTGATCGCCATCTTTATTCCATTCCCATAGAAATCTGCCAAACACTTCTGAATGTAACGGCATTCTGCATTAAGAATTAGAATATTTCGTTTGCTGTCGATAGTATCATATTCAAGAAACCTCTGCGAAAGGTTTAATATATCTGAAATAATGGTAATCAAAAAAAATAAAAATAATAAAGAGATTTGGCAAAAAAATAATAACTGATGTGAAGGGTTCTTAAATTAAGAACGTGGTGTCAATAAAATACATGTGAATAAGCGGAAAACAACAGAAGAGTGGAAGAATATAAAGGGGAAAAGCGCTTAATTCCATATCTCTTGGATTAGTGCTTTACGTTGCGTTTAATTCTATTTTCTCTGAAGCTTAAACATGCACAAAGGTTAATATACTCGTGTACACTATATGAATGATGATATTGTATGGGGTTGGTTTCTGTGAGATATCCTCAGCACGTAAGGTTTTTTTTAATCGTAATAATGGAACAAGACAGGGGAAAAGAACCTAAAGGTGTGAACATATTTTCTTAGTGTTTCATGCTTAGAAAAAGTAAACAAAACAAGAATACATATATATATATTCTAAAGCAGAATATTAAAGAATAATAAAGTCAAAAAATGTGATTTGACCTCTGATAGTGACCAAGAATAATTCGAAAGGGTAATTAGAAGCGAAGATAAACTCACGGTACAAGAGGAGAAAGAAAATTACTAAAAACTGGTGCCAAAATGAAAGATTGGCCCGCGTAAATGATTTCCTCAAATGCGTTGCAGACAAATGAACAAACAAAAAAGGTTAAACAAAAGATGTGATCAAGAAAAGCGGTATAAATCAGGTAAAAATAGTAAAGCGTACAAGTATAAAGAAAACAAGCATATATATATATATATATATATGCATGTATATTTATATGTCTCTCTGCGATGTAAAAAAGTTTGGGAGGGGGGGAATGTGTTAATAAACGATTATACTTAAATATCTATGCTCACTTGTGAATTCTAATCAATATGCATATACGTACACATATCGAACTACTCGGACGACATTCAGCATAATTAAAAGGATTTAAACGTATAAAGTACAATTGTCATGAAAGAATATGTGAATAATGTGCTCAATAAGAAAATTGTGAATAAATAAAAAATGATTTTCCCCTTGCTTGGAACCAAAATAATAAGAATGTGCAGAGGCACACTTTTATTATTCTTTAATGCTGTTATTTCATTCACCATTTTTGACGAAATTTTGGAAGGAAGGCATGCAAATTATAAAGGAAACCACTCAGAAAACTAATCGCTTAGCACTGGTATTACTATTACCCCTCATCCTCCTGACGCTATAAAAACTAAATATAAACAAGAAAAAATACGAAAGCTACTCATCAACCCCACAACTAATGGTGATCGATTACGAGTTTTTTTGAACATCATTATTTCATGTTGAACAACGGAAAATTATATATGAAAGGAATCACTTTTTTTTTTTTACAAGCATTGCTTCTGTTTAATCAAAGTCAACCTTATTAGGTCGCATGGAGTAGATTGCTTACTCTTGAGATATTTCACTCAGGCGATTCAAGCATAGGTGATGTAGGGAATAATACCCACGAAAGGTAAAAAGCAGAGTAAGGTGCTCCCCCCTCTCTCACTCCCCATGCTGGCGTTGCGTGATTGACAAAGGCGGGGGCCCCAACTTGGTTATAGAATTGTACCCTTTTTACCCCCTTGTGTAGCGCAACCGCTGGTAATTGTCTTCAAGCCCATCTTTTTGCATCTTATGGACATTTCCTCAATCCAAATGCGACAATGAAAGATGTGATGCAGGTAGGTCGCAAGCTCAAGAAATCGTATCGGCTCGCTTGATTCGTAGTAAACGTACAATTTCTGGCCATCCGCCTGGAATTCGCAGCCGGTAAAGCTCATGAGATCGATTCGGCAGGCCTCAAAGCTGTGGTGGTGACGAAGCGCGCTGAGAAACCAAAGAGTTGATTGATTAAGCTCCGCAAGCAATGTCGTGTACACCACCTTTTCTTCATCGGTAGAGGCGCGATAAAGCAAAAACTGCTGCGCAGTGTGAAGCCGTGCGGGCAACCCCCGCACACGTCGCTCCTGTGCGGTCAACTCGTCGAACTCCGCCTTGCCGACCACAAGCTGCACGACGCCAGACTCCGCCCCCATATCCCCATCCACCGCCACGAGCGTCCCGACGGGGAAGAACCGGTCCGACGTGCACGCGGAGCGCCGGTGGTGATGCTGGAGGACGTAGATGTAGGAGCTCTCCGCGTTCGGCACCATCGCGCCACGGCGCTGGGCCTCACTGTATGGGCGAACCCCCCCTTGTCCCCGTTGCAGCGCGTTGACCCGTCGGCCGCGGTTCGCGAGGACGTCCTCGAAGCACCCGGCGTGACGCAGACGGGAGAAGAGTTGGGTCAGGCGACGCTGCAGGAGGGCGAATTCGGCCGGGGCGGGAGGGGGGGGCACGAGGCCCAAAGGAAGGGGCGGCGAGACCGGTCCCACCGGTCCTTTCTCTTCCTGTCCCGGCGTTGGAGTCCCGAGGGCGGTGACGGACGGGCTGATAAAGGGGGCGTAAGGGAGAAGCTGCCGGTGCAGCGTCCGTCGCGTCTTCGCGAAGGAGCGGCGGAACTTCACGGGGGTGATAGGGGGGGGAGCGGAGAGGGCGGGTTGTTGTTGTTGAGAAGGAAGAGGGGGGTCGTCCGTCCTCTTCTCTGTCTGCGGCGGCGACCGCCGCGACCCGTCCTTGCGAGCCTCAGCGGTGGAAGCAGAGGAGACCTCTGATAACAAGGGCAGTGCGGGAGGGAGGGGGGCCGGTTCGTCGGCCAGGGGCGTCGCTGGGATATCGTGGAGGCCGGTGATCAGAATTGGGCTTTGTGAGCGCGAATCCAAGGCCGCCCCGGGCTTTTCGGGTCCACGATGCCCGGTGTTATCTGTGGGCACACTCCCAAATGAAGAGGGACGGAAAGACAGAAATTGTGTCGCCACCGAAGTCTTCTCCGTGGTGTGCTGGATCACAACAGCAGTACCAGGCGCCACATAGCGCCTCTTAGACGGGGCTGGTGAACGACTGCTGCTGCGATCATGGGTAGGGGCCTGATTTGAGCGATGGCTGTTGTCGACGGAGTCCGACATAGATGGAAGCGGTACGGGGAACCCCTTTATCGTTGCCGGAGCGACGGTAGAACCCTTGAGCGCCACCCCGCCCACGGTCGGTTCGCTTTGAGGTTGATGAGCGCGGAGGCTGGCGGTTATGTCACTCACCACAGAAGCGCTATACCCCGCCACCTCGCGCTCCAGAGCTGAGATGAATGCCCGCCGCGTACTCACCCCTCCGATGTATGACGGCGGGCGCTCCACCGCGTGCGGGGGCGTGGAGTATGCCTGGTTGCACTCTGCGGGCGGATACCTGCAAGGCTCGAACCCAGTTTGCTTGGCGTGCACGTCCTCAACACCGTAATGGGGGGTCTGGATGGGGGGAGGCGCGTTCGCGCAGTCCCCTCCCTCATTGTCCTTGGTCAAATCCCTTTCCCCGACGACCTCCGTCATCTCAAACACGCGAGTACTGTACGGATCGTTTCGCCAGACCACCCCAGGAAGCTTCAGGTCCTGTGCGAGCTTCACCGCGGCACCCACGGAGGACTCGCCGCTCACGGCACCCCCTCCTTCTCCGCGCTGCTGTGTGCCATCACACTCCCGCAAGCAATCCCGAAGGAGCGAAAGGAGGTGGCGGTGAAACGCACACCCCGACGACGGCGCGCAGGAATGGGGATCACCCGTGTCACCGAAGCTTGAAGGCTGCTTCCCGCTCACGGGGGTGTGTGCGCCACAGGGGTTCGGCACGTACCCCCCAGAGTTGACAAAGTCGGGGCTGACAACGGGTGGGGCGCCGCCCAAAAACTCCCCACCGCCGCACGTTGGGTTCCCCCCACAAGGGGAAGGGAGCACAAAGGCGTAGGCGCGGCCGTTAAACGGGAGAAAAGGACTGACAAGTGCACAGCGGTGTTGCGGAATGAGAAGGGATCCCTGATCGACGGGCGCCACGGCCGTTCCCATAGGCCATGGTATTTGATTTGGATATGGCATCGTCTCAAGAGGGAAATTGGGCATGCCCATGGGCATGCCAGCTTGAAAGGAGTTCGGCAAGACGCCTACGTTAGGATCCATACGCTGCACAGGTGAATGTAAGAACTCGCAACTCTGAGGAGGATCCTGAGCATTATTTACAAACTTTTCAGGGCGTGTCCCGCTCCATGGTGCGGCCGTGTGAAATAGCATGTCACCCGTCAACATAGGCATCCTTTTGTTTATGTGGGTAAGTTTGCCTGTTTATTTATGTATTTTTGTTGTTCTCGAGACGTCACTGTCCCCTTTAGCAGGTTAATGTTTTTTGTTTTCCTGTAGGTGTAAGCACCTTTCTCAGTTTCAGTTTACCGTCGTTGAGGAGAACCGATGCAATTGAGTTCTATAGACTTGTGTTTCCCTAACTTAAAAAATAGCAATACAGCGATGAAAATTCTATGAACGTCAGATCGCTATGTATCTCACTTTGCTGTGTCTACCCTTTATCCTCTAAAAACACTTCAAATAAAAGCGTTTGCTTAAAGTGTTTTTGTTCAAAAAAGAATTGTTAGGGAACGATACACTTTTTTTATTTAGGTGATGGTATTTAACGATAAAACATAATAGGAAAGGATCGGGAAAAAAAGGGGAAAGTGAATCAAAGAGTCGATCTCTAATGGCGAGTTTATGGCCAGCATAAAAATTAACACTTCCTACTTTTGAGGGAGAGATATACCCACCTAAAATATTTTAAGCTTTTAATGCATTAAACTCCATGCGCATAATAATCGATTGAAACCCAACTTGTATCCGGCAGGAAAGACGTACAAAAGGGATAGAAGTGAATTACTCGATACTACTAGCATCCATGGCTTTACTGTAAAACGCCCACAGTATGATCTACCTGTGCAAGTAAGCAGCAGCATTGCCTAAATCCCATTCTAAACAACGTACTCAGAATACGTGAATGCACGTATACACACATATATATATATGCTTGTATAGGTTGAATTTCGTGTATCGATCCCTCAATTCTGCGACTCTGATATATATCTCGCTACTTTATGCCTCATGTCATCGTCATCATAACGCGTCGAACTGGGAGGACGCTTTATCCCCGAGATGCGTTGCGACGACGCTTCTAGGGTGGCGGACTCGTGAGCATCGGAATTCCCCATATCCAAGAGGCTATCCACTTGTCTTGAAAGATCCTCATCACCATTAAAATCTTCATTTGAGAACAGTAGCACATGTCGCCCTAAGGCCGGCATATCAATGTTCGAAGCCTTGGCATACATGCTGCAGATCCCAATACGATCGTACGTGATGTACTTGCCATCTTTACTTAAGGCACCCTTCATTGCATCCGTGCTCTGCCCATCGGCACTCTTCTTTCCATGATGCGACCAGAGGTGCATAAGATAGCTACTGGTATTTACATCATCATTGTAAAGCAATCTAAAGGTGTTCTCGCGTGAGGCGTGGTAGCTAATCGCGACCCCCTCCGTGATCTGCGCCACTGACGCCGGAGGTCGAGACGGATTCTGTTGTAGAAATGGAGCGCTACGAGCGGATTCGGTCTTCAAATCCTCCTCCACCACAAGTAAATTTGTATTGCCCACCAGCACGTGTGGTTTGTTCAGTTGTGCCGAGTTGATTGCAGCGCCTGGAAGAATCATATGATGTAAAGTCTCAGCAGCCTCGGCAAGGAAGTCCAACGCCCCATCCGCCGATTTCTCAGCCGAAATACCCTCCTGCGCAGCCCGCGTGAAGCCACTCGGAAAGACTGGTATCACCTCAATCGGGTAGATCGGCATGGGCATATGATTCTCACCCAACACCGTACTCTTGCGGCGCAGTCCGGTGCCCACCACTAGTTCGGGTTGGAAGCCTCCGGTGTACAGAGGATCCAGCTCAGCCTCGTTGAAATAGAGTTGGCGCTTGCGTACGGCATTGTCGTTTCCCAATGACGCCACATACTTCTCGAGTGCGGCAATGTAGCTGCGGACCAGGGGACGCCAAGAGGACAAAAACTGCGGCAGATGTCGCCGCTCGAGTGAGCCCATGAGGTCCTTCACCGCCTGTCGGCTCGACTGGGCATCGCTGTAGGCGAAGGAAAAGCAACAAATCGCGCGCCAGACGTCCCACTGCTGGGCGCCCGTGGTGCCCTCAAATAGCACGCGCCACAGCGTCCGCGCGATTTGTAAATGCTCCTCGTCCTCCTTGCTCAACCCTAGCTTGCCGTGCGCGAGGTCGGCGATGAACTGGTCAAACTGCTGATCAAGCGCCCGCGCCTGACGGAAGGAGCGCTGCACCCCTTCCCGCCACCGTTCCCGCGTCGTCTCCGCGTCAGGGGCGACGGGGAGGCCCGCGGCGTCATACCCATCCGGGCCTTCAGGCGCTCCCCCTCCTCCTTGGGAAAGGTGCTGAGAGAGCTCCCGCGGGACGATCCGCTCGCGACGGGCGAGATCGCGCTCCTCCAGCGGCACCAACCCCATATCCGTATAAAGCGGGTGCTGAATGAGGGTAAGGGAAGGCATATCCCGCTGTTGCGTGAGGCTGCGATCGAGATCGGTCGCGAGCAGCGCGGCGTCGGCGGCGTCGAGCTGCGTATTCGCCTCCTCCGGCCGCCACGGGGTGGCGGCAACCTTCCCGGCGGCCTGCGCGCGGCGTTGGAGGTCGTCGAGGTGGCGTCGAGTCCGTGCGGCGGCCTCACGGGCCTCCTGTAGCGCCTCCGGCTGTACGGGGTAGTACGCTAAGGGCAAGCTCGCAAGCACACCCTCGGCCATCGCGTCGAGCTCCGACTGCATCACCCCATCCGGGCAAGGATTCGTGAGCAGCTCCGTGTAGTCATTGGGGTAATAGAGCAAAGGGGTGTCGGGGATCTGCGGGAAAGGGACGTTCCAGGTAAATTCGTGGTAGTAGCGCTGCTCACAACGACGGATCGCCTCCTCGAGCGTGATGTCTTGGGGAAAGCAAAGCTTCTCATCCCGCGGTGCGTACGACGAGGGGAGGGTTCCTACCGCTCCCCCTCCCGACGCCGTCGAGGCGAAGAGATTCCCATATCTGTCATTGCCATTGTCCGCTCGGTTTACGCGACTTGAGTCTAAAAGGCCGACTTCATCGTCAATTAAGATCGGGTTAAACGCCATAATATGGAAAAGATGGCTCGATAGTGTATTTTATGCGCAGTCACAAGAAGTATGCCCACAAATACTTATAGGCAATATTAGTCCAAATACCGCCCTACAATACCAGTCCTTTCACACAAATACTTAATTTTTGTTGTTGGGGCCTCGCCTCCAATGTAGAAAGAAATGTGGATTCACCGTGGACGAAGCCTGGTGAGCTTCAGTTGTTGTTTTTCGCAGAATCTAGCCCCCTATTGAAATGTCCCTTCACGGACTGACTATATATTATTTTCAATCTTAAACACTGCAAATTACCTTGCAGTGTGGCTCTTTAGGTTAGCTACTTTGTGGAGTGAAAATGAAATATTCTCAAATGATTATACTGAATACGCCTCTTTGGAATATGTTATAACTTGATAAATAAAGGAAGATGGAAAAGCTCATGATGAATGGCGTCTTGACACAACTCTCTAATATCATCACAGGGATATCTTTATCAATAATATGTCCTATAATTTCACAACAACACTAATACTCAAACGACTCGAGAGCCTAAAATAGGAAAAGTCAAGAATTGAAGATCCCTCAAGCCCCTTAAATTCCTTGAGTGGGAAAAGTGAATAATTTTAGAGATCCCTAAATAAGAGCCTTCAAAATTCGAGGAAGTGCATAGTGATTTTTGATAAATCGTTATTCCACATCAAAATCCCATCATAGATATACAAAAAATGAAGTAGCAGGAAAACAGCATCCATGTAAACAACTGCCATGACGAGAATGCGACCATGCTTAAAATTGTAGCGAAAACACATGGGGGATGCGAGAAGAACAATTTATTCAATCAAGACGCTAAATTTAATTACATCCGTTTAAGTACATGAACCACAAAGTCTGTAAAGAGGGGAAAAAGCAATAGCTCCTTCCTCAAACACAACACAAAAATACATGAGACGTGCTGGTGTTTTGTGAGGCATCTGGTACTTTCAGTAGAATAATGGAAAAAGCTTATACTTTATTAATGATTGGTACATGCATTTGAAATAAATACAGAGGAAAAACAAAAAAAACTCTCTCATGACTTCCACTTTTGTGTCCTCTACACATCATCTTAAGGGCAGAGCATGGAGAAGAAAAAGGGGAAGAAAGCTCGCAACATTAGATGCTATTTTGCATGTAAATGCGAACATTAATCTTCGATAGACTCCCATTTACTATGGAGTTGATGTTGTCTCTGGATCTGTGAATATATAAGTTGTTGGTTTACTCACATTTTTTTAGATATTCTGATAAAGGTTGATCAAAAAAAGAACATCCATTTGTTTACCTAAGGTAAGTGACTGCATACGCTCACTTCACATCACATTAGATGAACTCTCAAATCATTAGTATCAACCGCCATCTCAGAGGAGAGAGATGATATGTTTCTTTTTTCCCATTGTCTTGTGATCTCATTGAAAAGCCAAAAAGGACATCACGCAGTGATAGTGACTATCATTGCTAATAATGAGGATTATGGTGCATCAACGTGCTTCCTGTTGATAAACTGTGCGATACAAGTAAAGAGAAAAGTGTTTCAATGCATATTCCTTGTACAAAACGAGAGTTTTTTTCCTTGCTGGTTCGTGCGCGCTTAAAAAACTGCCCTTGCGCCTATTCTGTGCAATCGTGAAAAAAAGGTTCCATTATCAGGTGTAATTTATTCCTTCACCTCGATCATATATATATATAGACCCCACCTCTTCGCTAAAAAAAAGGCAAAGCACGCATGTTGGATGCATGAAGAATGCTTAGGGCATTGTCCACATCAACTGACAGACTTTCTTGCAGATGGGATTCCGCGACTACGAGTACGCGAGCGATAAGGAGCAGAGGGAGCCAAGTGCATTTTCTTGATTTGAGGTTTGCCCTTCTTCTTACGTTTTGCAGCTGCGTTTGATTGCGACTCTAGACTCTCAAGAAGCGTGTCAAGGCGTTCCTGCATTAGGCCTACCACCTCCGCCTTCTTTGCATCAAGAGCTAGATTTTGCTTCACATCGCTCTCATCCTCGACTTTCACAAATGGAAACCACTCAATCCGCTCCTGCATGACGGTGCAACCATTATGAAAAGGTGCATTTTGTATCCAGAAGGGATCACCCTTCTGGATAAGAATTGCCGTGAGGCGCACCATCGCAGCACGCATTGCAAGATACAGCGGCACAACGTGCTGCTCGTCCTCCACATTGACATCGTGGCCTCGCTCAACGAACTCAAGACCATACTCCTCGTGATTAGTAAAGCATGCCCAATGCAAATGTGTGCGGCCTTTATGATCAATGACTTCGAGTCTGAGCAAGTTCTTCGGCACACGAGTTAACATAAGCTGCATCGCCTCGTCGTTGTTGAATTCCATTGCCCGCATTAGAGCGGTTTCACCCTCCTTATCCCGTGTGGTCGGCGAGGCCCCCACGCTGAGGAGAAACTCCAACATAGGCAGGTAATCCTTCCCCAAGCCTACACACCAATGCAACGCGGTCTGAGACTTTGTGTTTTTGAAGTGCTCCCCTATCTGAGTTACCTCCATATCATCGCACTCGTTGAGCATGCTCTCCAAGGGCCACCCACGCTTCTGTGCGCCTTCGACCAGCGCGGATACTAATTCAATTTTGTTCGACAGCACAGCGAGGTGTAGCGGCTTCTGCCCATGCCAAGGGGTCTGCACCTCGCTCACCTCCGCGAGGTACTTCGCCGCCTCGATCTGCCCAAATTTGCAGGCGAGGTGAAGGGCAGTGCAGCCAAAGCGGTTGACTATGTTGGGATCGATCCCACCATCAATGAGATGGTGGATCTCGCCGACGTCACCTCTGCGGGCGGCCGCATGCAGCTTCTCCATGTTCTCATCATCAATCTTGAGACGAGGTAATTTGGGGAAATTAGACATTTTGTATCCTCTTGAACCCCCAATAACTTTGCTATAATATAAAATATGTATTTGCGGCTATTCACGTATGCTAGGATAATATATCAGAGAAATCGGGTACCTTGACTCTTTTTTCCCTTTTAATCCACTTTAAATCAATACTCACCAATAAATAAATGAGCCAATACGTTTTAAATACTCCTTAGTGCAAGGATATGCAGCAAGTGACGTAATCCCTCTACCTTTCTTCAGAATTTTAACAATATATCGAGAAGAAAGTGGTTAAAGGAAACCTAAGGAAAAGTAATCACTACAACTATAAGAAATTTCAGTAAAGAAAAAGGATAGTGAAAATAACAAAGGATAAGAAAAAAAGAAAATTCAGGTAAATTGTCCTGAAATACAGTCATAGATTCTTGTGTGACCAAGAATGCAAGAAAAATTAGAAATAAAAAATTATTCAGATAATCATGCTAAAAAAAAGATTGAAAACTTGCTATCAGGGTGTCTATTTCTTAAAAAAAACACACTCTCGGTATCTTAAAAACACTTACTGCTTGCTCTTCTTGATGGAGGCGAGGGCGGCCTTCTTGGCCTTGGCCACGCGCGCGAGCTTCTTCGTGCGACGGGCGACGCGGTTCTTCGGGTGCTGCAGGCCCTTGCTCATCATCTGCTCCTTCTTCACGAATGGGTTCAGGCGGCGGCGCAGACGGCGGTTCTTCAACCCGTTCGTCGGCTCACGGCGGCCGCTCGACTTGCGCGTCTGCAGCTTCTTCGGCTTCAGCGCGCGACGCACCTCCTCCGACTGCATGATGCGCGTCACGTCCGTGTTCGTCAGCATCGGCGCAGGCAGCGTGAAGCCCTTCTTCACCGCCGACGCCTCCGTGAACGTCCCGAACACGCGGTCCAGCTGCTCGAACGCGCCACGCGTCCAGATGATGAAGCGGCCCACGTGCCCACCGGGCGCGAGGTGCAGCAGGTTCAGCGCGTTCACGTTCGCCAGGTCGAGCCCGAAGATGTTGCGGAACGCACGCGTGCCCTTGTTATCCGGCATCACCAGCATCGGCCCGCGGCGCGCCACGTACCGCCGGTTCCGCATCTTCCCACGCCCCGCGCGCAGCTCCCGCGAGTCGTTCACGCGGTTCACGTCGTCCAGCGCGGCGATCGTGCGCAGGAAGGCCATCGCCTCCTTCGTCTTCTCGTACGCCTGGATCGCGTCCTCCACCACCAGCGGCACCTCCGCCACGTTCTCGATCTTGTGCCCGCGCGACATCACCAGCGACGGCAGCGACGACGCCGCCAGCGCCGACACCACGGCGAAGCGCTTCTGGTGCAGGTTGATCTTGCGGTGCCACCGGCGGAAGATCTTCGTCGGCGCGAACATCCGCCCACCACGGCACATGTTGCCGAACGCACCCGCGCCCGACGTGCTCGTGCCGCCACCGCTGATACGCGGGATACGCGCCACCGCGCGCCCGGTGCCCCACGAGTGCGCCGAGTGGTTCATCCCCGCCAGGCGGTTCACCGCGTACGCCTGCCGCGAGTTCTTCGCCATGTTCGTGTGCACGAACTGCACGATATCACTCCGGATCGGCGCCGTGAACACCGCCGGCAGCGGCACGGTCCCCACCACAGCGTCCGACGACGCCGAGTACACGCTCACAGATGGACGAGCCGTCATGGTGATAAAAGCTGGTTGTATTATCGATTGTCTTCTTAGTAGCAAAGCTTTTCAGCTTTGAATTTAAATAAAGAACAATAGTAAAATATAGTCACAAAGTTAGTTTAGAGTGTTAAAACAATGAATATATAGGTCTTCATCATAGGCGAATATTGCGTATTAAAGTATTTAATCGTTTCTGTTATTTTGTTTATGTTAGGTTTGTGACACTTTGTAAGTTATTATTTGAAGTAACTCCTTCGTTGTGTCTAGGACATCCATTATACAATGGCCCAAAGTCTATATAACATATCTAACACTTCTTCCAACGCAAATTGTGGTAGTATTTATTTATTAAACATCGTAGAATCACAAGTTACACGCTTAACATTCTGTTTGAAAATGTTGACGATATTCAACGCTAGATGATAAAGCAAGCAGTTTGCTCGACTACGTTGGAAGGGTATGAGAACGCCCACACCCTTCAATAGGAACGCAAGGAAATTTTAGCGATGTAGCTAACAGAAATGTGGTATGGGGCTCTGAAGGGATTGTAGTCCTCGAATCCGCGGCATATTCCACCACCCGTATAGAAGGTCATGGATGGAAAAAACAAAGTAACACTAGAAAAAGGTTACAAAACGTTCTCAAAAGTATCCCGAAGTGTAAAGGCAGTAATTTCTTAAAACAATTCAAGCGACAAATGTTCCCCGAGAAGGGGGGCAGCAAATATGCATCGCATGCAATATGAATATCTGCTTAATCCTACAACTATACGAACCCCCTCCTCCCCCCTTTCTCCTTCTTCCCCTCATGCTCATATAGCGGTAGAACTAGGAAAATGTGCAACTTCTGGGCATTTCCAGTAAATACGTGACACAGAAACCTTCCCCCATCGAATAGGAACTCACAAGGGAAAGGCTCGTGACATAAATGCATTGTCTACATAAAGGGAAAGAAAAGGAAATACCTAGTCTCTTTTTAGCCCTCTCCCTTGAAATAAGCATGCTTTGCACTTTCGATTAATGCATCCTTCTTGCTGTCATACCTCATCGCGTGCCCAACTGTCTTGAGGTATTCCTTCAGCTGCATTACTGTTAACCGGTGCCACGCGTTGCGATCAGCTGCATCCCTCACAAGTTCCCTGATTTCTTGAGCCGAACAGCAACCCCACTTCTTCTCGCTCTGAAAATGATTGTAACCTTTTCTCTGCATGCGTGGATGGGTAATAGGCGCCGAATTCCCACTCCGTGTACCGTCCTTCATATTGTCATCGGTGTCCCCGTACGCTCGCGGACGTCGCGATACCACTGTCATGATGCGAGGTTGCGCACAGAGCGACTCCGGATTATACGACGAGGCAAGGACAGAAGCGTTAAAGTCCTGAAACAGCGTGGCATGACGTGCCATAACGGCCTTGTCGGGCAACGTCCAGTCGCGAGGAAGGGACATCGACGCTCGCTCAATTTCTGGGCCCTTGCAGGGCGCAAGTGGAATCGCCGAACGTGAAGCCCCCAGCGAGGGCTCCCTTTTCACTCCCTCTGCCTTTGGGGAAACGAGCTGACGCAAGACGAGGTCCTCCGATACGTGGCGCCGCAGCTGTAACCAGGGGTTTGGTACGGCCAGGATATCGTAGCGGACGCTGAGGGCGTCGATAACCCGCGTCGCAAGCTGTATATCCTTGTCAGATACGGCGTCCGGGCTGAGTTTAGGCGAAAGATTTTCGATACGACTGGGCAACATGGCGAGGTCTGGTACGGGGAAGATACCGTCTGCGTAGGGCAAGGGAACCATGTAGAAGCCAATTCCTTGAGCGGGTAAACTGGTCTCAGGTATGACCTGCTGCCGAGCCGCGGCAGAGTCGGGTGAAGGCACCAACGCTACAAGTCTAGGGGGGATATGTTTCTTTGCGTATTGCGCGATGCCAACCTTTCCTTGCGTACGCAGTGTTCGCACCAGCTGCACAAACAATCGAAGCGAGTGATGACCTCCTTCAAATAAATTTGCATACACAAAGGCACTGCAATGGAAGATATGCTTGTGTTGAATCACATCCTCGTACCGCTTAAAACACACGATGGTAAGGCCATGCGTAGCCCCTGCGGCTGCCACCTCTGCAAGCTTAGCCCGCTGCGTATGGGTGAAAAAAATGGTGATGCCCCCTATTTCCGTGGCGCAACTAACCTCATCCGGATTTAGGACAGTACCTTGGCCGTCTGTACAGTCATCATTCCGCACCACACCCTCCTCGAACTGGTTCCCAGTCCTATTTGAACGATGCCGGAAGCCTTCGCCGTCACCGCGATGGGGCGGGGAAACTGTTTTCTTCACCTTAAGAAGAATCCGTCGGTTGACAGGAGCCTTTGTCGCCGCCTCCATCCACCCTATCGATTCACCGGTGTCAGCCAAGAGCAGCGAGTACAGGCTTACAGCCATACGCGGCACATCACCGTTGCCCGCGTTCACGCCAATAAATAACCCACAGTTCAGGAAAGGACGTTGCGGGTGGATCTTGCGACGGACGGATTCCAAGAATCCATCGAAGGAGTTGCCTAAAGTACCGCCGATCCCTACAGTCCTGGCATGACAGTTTATATGGTAGCTACCGTTTTGGAAAGTCAACTCACCCGTACTGAGGGAACCGCTATAAGGCTTGCGCCCACTAACTTCGTAGAGCAGCCTCTTCCAGAAAACACTTCCTGGGAAAGCCACGTTATCGATGTTGTCAACAAAATCACCCTTATCCTTTGAAACAAAAGAATGTACCCCCATCGAAGACTCTGCAGCCATGCCATCCGTGACCGTGGGGGTACCATTGGGAGTGCCAACACCGCACCCGCTCTCGGCACTAACCGCCGCCGCAGTGGTAGCAGCGCTGGCTGGAAGCCCCCTCCCCTCAACCCGTTCTCCGACCCCAAATACTTCAATCATGACGCCCATATTGGTTAGACTACGAGAATGCGCGACACACCAATCGTACTCCAGAGCGTTGCCGCGAGTCGGGTCGTCGTCGTTAGTAAAAACAAAAATACGCTTGTGTTTAACATTCGTCGTTCCGAGATTCAAGAACATGCAATGCGCCGCATAAAGCGCTTTTCTGAGCGCCGACGGTTGGTGAGCTGGAAGATGGCCTATATCTCGAACAAATTTCACATAAGCTGATGAATCAGGGCTGACTGCCGACGTTGCTAGCTGCTCAAGCTCATACAAACCACTTAGGCTTAATTGGCTGAAAGGGTGAAAAATATAGACGCCTGGGCATTCATAGGTATTCTTTTCAACAGCAGTATTGTAGAGAACAAGAGCTACAACGTCCTGGTAGCTTGAAAAGGATTTTTTTTTATATAAACAGCGAACCCCGTCCAGTGCTCGACCAAAGGCCGTTAGTTGGGCCGGCGTAGAACCCGTATCTTGGCCGTCGGCTTCAAGAACCTGGTCAGAAAAAGTGGGCGATGTCGATATGTTACATTCGTCATTTTTAAATTTGTGCTCAACCGTCTGATCCGATGAAGCTGTACTATGATGGGATTTGATGGGTAAGGCGAACATTTCGCTACGGCAGTCCACTAAACAGAGAACCGCATCGGTCCCATATGCATACGAAAGACCCTCGCATGAGCCACTCTCGTTAACCTCCGCATTCTCATCTTGATGAAACTCCTCTTCCGTGAAGCCGATAGTTTCCTCAACCCAGTCCGCGTAGCTTGTCATAAACGCTGTGCACACTCCTTAAGCCCAGAACACCTACTTATCTGGCCTGGGACCCTTAGCTCGTGCTGCACAAAAATAATATATACCTTTAAAAAAAAAACTTTCGATTACTAAAACCGTCATGGAATATGTTGAAATTGTGATAAAATACACATAAAATTATCGTACACAGGAGAGGTGTTTAGCACGTGAATAATGCGTGTTTGAGGGAAAGACAACCACACACATAAACATACACGCTTGATACATGACTATTTTCATTCGATTGAAATCTAAATTGAATATAAAGTCTAATGGGAGACTTGAATACAATAGTTGAGAATACCAATTGAATAAAAAATAGTATAAAGTGATAGGTATAAAGGATGGACATATAGTCCGAAAAATCTCCAGACAAACAAAACCAAAGTTGTTAAAAGACATCTAAACACTTTCTTCGTTTGAAGAAAATAAAATCGCAGTAGTATTCGATGCGGGACGTCCTATACTGTCGAGCAACAAAACTTTTTCCAATAAGAAGGGACACACTAGGTTGGCTTTAGAAACTACCAGATCTCAGAAAGGTGGCCTTATGCAAGCTCGAGCTTTTTTATACACGGTAAGCACTAAGAATGGCCTCCCTTTTATTTACCCATTGTTCATACTCTTCAGGTGTCAAATGCTTCATCGGACGCGTTAGGGGCGCGGTGGCATAACCAAATTGTCTCGTACCAATACTCGCGACAACGGTTCGCGCGGCATCATTATCCTGGGAACCAGCGGAGTCCGAGTCTGCAGCAGCCAGCTTACCAGACTTCAATTCTTTCTGCCACGACTACACACCTTGCAATAGAGTGAAACGGTTCGTCTTTTCGCCATCCATGGAGTGTAGCTCCGCGTAGCCGTGAACCAAGTAGTCAGGGCCCGCCTCGGAGAGGAGGAAGTTGGGCACTGCGATCGCCTGCGCGGTTTCCGTTTCCGAGCTATGGCAAATCCTTCGCATGTTCTCCAATGCACGACCCACCTCGTCTTCAAGGCCCGGGGAGAGGCCTCCCTCCGCGGCGTTGCTCGCGCCCGTGGAGGTGCCGCATTGTTGCCGAGCCAGCTCCCGCTCACGGGCCTGCTGCTCGGCGACAGCGTTCAGCGCTTCGATATCGTTCTGCATGGAGGACACGATAGCTTCGGCGTCGTTCTCGTCGGGCATCACAAAGTCCTTTGGGCCAAACCCCGTCGGCGACATGTCGGTAGGCATCGTTTCCCCTCCCTCCGCACTTGTTGAGAATCCACAGGGGCCGGCAAAGGCTGCAGAAGCACGCATCCGCAAGGATGATTGGGCGAGATCCACACTTGAACGCGGGTAAAATGGCTCCTTCGTCGCCACACTAATCGAGGCTCGGCGGCTCGGCACGAGCACGTCCTTGTCCATTTCAAAGGTGACCGTATTGGCCTGGTTTAGAGTGCCATACCGATCTACAAGGAGCAAGGTCTCGTGCTTCTGCAAATATTCCTCGAAAACAGGGGCTTTTAAGGGTACGATGTTTGATGAAAAGGGGCTCCATCCAGAGGGGGAGTGACCACCTTTTAACCAACCAAATGACGGACCTGTCACACTGTAAGATCTCAATTGCGTCAGAGGCGGAGGGTTGTGTAGATCTTGCTGGCTATGCTCAACTAATATGGAGACTCTCGTGTTTGAAGCCGTGAGGTTGGAAAGAGACGTGGGAGTAGATCCCAACAAGGAACCTGAGGGTTCACTGACAACCACACGACTGCAAGTAGGCTGATTGAGGTCAGCCTCCACCTCTTCTGTGGAGACCGCCCCCAGCAGTCGCTCCAGGACTGGTGTCCGATGGCTCGCCGCGGCAGAGCCCCTCTCTGCTTTCGACTGTGCGAGGTGGGTAATAGATTCCCGCTTGACACCCGACGTATCAGATGGTGTGAGATGGTGTTTTTTATGTAGTACATTTAGCATTTTGTCTGGATTTTGGCTGAGCAACCGCAGGAAGGACTCCCTCTTTTCCTCTGCATGCTTAGAAACGCTCTGCACGGACGTTTCTGGAGGAAAAGGTGACGACGGGGGTAACCCACCCTCATTCAACAGCTCGTTGTTGGGTCCGCTCACTGCGGCCTGATAGTCCTCATCCTCTTGCAAGGGATCTTTGTCGTTGGATAGCTCCTTAGTCTGTGCCATGGCGGACCAGTGGTACAGGGCATCGGCGCGTATCATAGCCAATAACTTCAGTGATTTGTCCCTCGCAGTATCGATCTCTTGTTTATCTGTAAGGTTGATATTCACCTTAGTGGCATCCTTGTCAAGGTAGGCAGCCGCAAAGTAAAAGTTATGCTTGTGGAAACGGTCATTTGGAGTTATAGCCATCGTACGTAGACGGGCACGGTTCGCAAGGGGGCAGATGGATACATCAGGATCAACCAACGATACGCAGTACTGAATGTTATCGATGCTTGGCAATTGCAGAACGTAGCCAATCGACAATGCTTCTTCCATGGTGAGGACTGCCCGAGGCTTTTCCGCCATTAAGAATATATGGACAGGGGGAAGTCGGCCCACATATGCCTCTGTGAGGGTGTCATGCGCCGCGCGTACCTTGCTCTCCACATCAGGTGGAGTTCTCTCGATCTTAGCTTGAGAAGAAACGTTGCGGGTAGACGACGATTCGACCGTGGTGCTCGTGTAGGCAATTCCTTGGACCGGTTGCAATTTTGGTCGATTCTTCTCCCATCCACTCTTATTCTTTTCGGCCTCAGTGGCCTTGTCGCGCTCACTCAGCATATTCAGGTACTTCTGTAGCAAAGGTGGGAGGTGGGTATCTTTACCCTTTTTGGGGTCCCACACGCGTGCTTTACTGCGTTGGCTCAGCTGGGGACTGGTAGAGTACCCATCAGTGCTGGGAGGAGATTGTATGCGCTTTGGCTGACCACTATCCGGCCTGGGAGTTGCGGAGGGCGGGCGACACGGTGGATGGGGCCCATACGCTGTGGCAGTAGAAGCGTCCATTTTTACCAAGAAGGCACCAAATCCAATGTTTGTGTGATAATGCACCTTTTTCCGGCGCAAGGATGGTGATGCGCTCGATACGCGGGCTCTCGTCGAGGACGTAGTACTTGCAGTTGAATCTTTGTTGTGGCTCTGGTGTCTATTCGGCAATGTGGAAGATCCACTGAGCCGCTCCATTTGTTCCTGGACGCATTTGTCGATGGTAGCCGAGAGTTGCGGGACTCGCCGCTTCAATGAGGCACTCATCGACCTGATATATCCCATGGAGTCCCTTCGATGTCGCTCAAGGTTCGCAATCACCGCATCTGCAATTGGGTACACGCTCACCGCTTCCCCGCCTTTGGCAGTGGCATGAGAATGCTTCATCTTAGATATGACGTATCGATGTGCGATGGTGTCGTCACTCACACAGCCTTTGTCAGCGATCTCGCCTTTTTTTGTGGACATAGTAGCGTATTTAATGTCATCAAGTTTGATGTGATCGCTATGAAGGAAACAGAGGGCATTAAGATTAACCTCTGCGAGGCGTTTGGCGTACGCCACATAGCCGCATCCGCCCGGGGCCCCCTCCACAATGGGCATGCACTGCTGGCCAAGCGAGTTTGTCCCCACCTCCGGAATCGGCGGACGGAAGAGGTGCTTCATGTACACGAGGACCTGGCCGTCGGCCCTGCCCGAGAGCATGTGTAGAATCTCCACCCGCTCCAGCGCGTCAAGGAGGTCCTCGCGTCGGAGGCGCCAGCACTCCACGATGGTGCACGCGGAAAGCGCAAACGGCCACCGGTGCGGGATCAAACAGGCCTCCCCGATGACATCCCCGGGGCCGTAGGTGGCCGCCCCGCCGTTGATGGAGCTCATCCGGCCACGCCTTATAAAGATCATCCCATCGCACCGCTCCGACGTGCTCGTCACGAGAGCGCCTGGGGAGAAGAACATCGGCTCCAGACGCTCCTGTACCAGCCGCAGCGCCACATCACTAAAGGAGCGAAACAACTCCAGATGCTCCCGCAGGTGGTTCGCAAAGGGAGGCATCAGACGCTGCTCATCGAACCACCGTCGACGAAGCGACGAGGCCTTGGTGAGGAGGCACTCCCGCAACGCGTCGTCGCGGCGGGTGGTGCTCGAGAAGTCTTTATGCGGGAGGCACCAAATATCGCACGCCTTGTCGGCCACCAAGACATGGGCACGGGGCTCGCAAAAGAGGACGGAGAGCTCCCCAAAGATGGTGCCGGGCTCCAGGACCTCCAGCACGCGGCCCTCATCCCGCGCGTCCCGGCAGTTTTCCTGACACACACAAACGATCCCATTCTCATTGGAAAGGGTGCTCCCCGCGGCGGGCTGGGAAACCCCTTTTAACGAGGCACCATCTACGATCAGGATGCGACCACGGCGCAGGAAACAGAGCTGGCGGACCCCGCGGATGCGATGGCTATGCGGGCACGCGATCACCTCTCCCGGCAGGCATATTTGAGGCCTTAAACACATGATTAAATTGCGAATCGTGGAATCAGGTGTGTCCTGCAAAAGCCAACTTTGGCGCATAAAGAGCGCATTCAGCGGGTAGTGGGTTGTCAAGACCTTGGTGCGGGCGGCCACGAGAAAGCTAGCGAGTGTCAATTGCGGCCCAGCCGCCTGGACGTAGCCCCACTCCTGGTCCACTTCCTGTCTCCTCTTGACAAGGGTAAGTAAGGCCTCATGGACGTCGAGTAGGCGAAAACGCACGACATCCGTGTAGGACCTCAGCTCATTCACCTTCATATTGGCGCCGTCGGTCGAAGGCTCCGTACCTCCGACAAAGCCGCTGGCATTGCCAATCGCCAAGCAACTGGCGTTCTTACACGGGGCCAATCCCAGAGCCTCCGACGCGCCAATCACGCGCGGGCCGCGGAGCACTTCCCGCCGCAGGGGTTGAAGGGTGGGCTGCCCCGGGGTGCGGCTCACGCGTAGCAATGATCGCTGAATCGCATTCGTCATGTTCATCGCGGATGCCGTGTCGTTCTCCAGACCGCCATACCCCAACGGCGAACCTTTATCCGTGACGGTGGTGGAAAATACCCCATCAGGGCTG